GTTGCCAAGTCCTTGATACTGTTAGCTTTGTTGTGATGGCCCAAGTTCCATAATAAAAACCGAATGCACTGAGCGAGTCTGATCACTTCCCCACCCCACCCCACCCCGCTGTGCACAGGCAGCTGATCTAACTTTTCCCTCGCCACCATTCCTCCCACCCTCATTGATTAGGAGGGCGGATGCTCTACCCCTTCTGTTGAAGTGGGTTTTGCTCATGATACTCTCTCCATATTTTTTGTGAGTCCCTAAAGCTACGTCTCGACTGCATCCCTCTGTCGACAGAGGGATGCAAATCAAGTGCATCAAAACTGCTAATGAAGCAGGGATTTAAATATCCTGCGCCTCATTAGCATAAACGTGGCCGCCTCTTTTTTTCAAAACGGAGTTTTTTCGGAAAAAAGGCAGTCCAGACGCGGATCCGTTGAGAAAGGCTTTATTTTCGACAGCTCTGCGTCTAGACTGCCATTTTTTTTAAACTCCATTTTGAAAAAAAGCAGCGGCTATGTTTATGCTAATGAGGCGTGGGATATTTAAATCCCTGCTTCATTAGCATTTTCAGTGTACCCCAGTCTCCTGCCCTGTGCTCCTCCTCATGCCCAAACTCCTGTCCTGACTCCCGCTAACCCCCTCAGCTCCCTGCCTTCAGCCCCCCCGCTCCTTAAATTTCGTACAGGTCTTGTCATATAGCACCCTCACTCCCTGCCCTGAACTCCCCCTCCCCAGAAAGGGTGCGACCCAACAGTACCAGTAAGAAACTTACGTTACTTTCACCCCCCGGCCTTAACTCTGCCACCGTTGCTCCAACATACACAGCAATAGAAACGGCAGCTGTTACAGGAGAGACCACAGCTCTTTCCCCCAGCTCGGGGCGCTGTGCCCCAGGTAACGGGGGTCTTGAGGGCCGGCTGCCTCGTGCGCCGTTGGCTGAGCTGGCTGCGGGACAGGCGAGGCGCCTGCGCTCGGCTGAGAGTTGGGATTGGTCCTGCTTTGGGCAGGGGGCTGGATTTGATGAACTCCTGAGGTCTCTGCCAGAGGCAGGACAATCTACAAACTCTTTGGTTATGTCTACACCGGCGGGTTATTGCGCAAGAATCCGCAGAGCGTCTATGCTGCCCGCCCGCTCTTGCACACGTAAATGTACAGTATGGCGTGGTAAGAGAGGGCTCCTTGTGCAAGAGCTATGCTCTTTTGTATCAGGTGTGAGCCCTCTTGTGCAGGAGCTCTTGCGCAAGAGGGCAGTGTGGATGCTCGGCAGGGATTTCTTGTGCAAGAAACCCCTGGGGCTACAATGGCCATCGGAGCTTTCTTGCACAAGAGAGCGTCCACACGGCCCTGGGAGCTTTTGCGCAAAAGCACAGCACGCACATGGCAGTGTGGACGTTTTCTTGTGCAAGACTTCTTGCACAAGAACCCTTGCACAAGAAGTTCTTGCGCAAGAAGCTGCCGGTGTAGACATAGCCTTTGAGTGGTCTGCCTTGGTCCCCCCTAGTGACACATCGCTACTACTCCCCCCACTCCTCCACCACACACACACACACACACACACACGTTGCCTGTTTAGGCTCCACCCTGCAACTGGCTTGGCCTTTGACTTCAGGCAGGATCTACATGGACTCCAGGGGGGCCCGCTCAGAGCCGGTTTCAGGATCTGGACCTCCAGGGCAGGGACTGAATTCTAGGGCATGGGCACAGCACCTAGGGCGGGGGGGGG